GAGCTGTCAGTCAGCTGCCTACCACTGTGCATGTGCTCGCTCGTAGAGAAGCAGAGCCATAGATACCATTTAATTGAAGGTTGAAGTTATCAGATAGCATGCGACTCAGCTGTCAGTCAAGGTGCAGTCACCGCGGTGACGCTTGACAGTGTTCTGCACCACTGACGACATCAGGAAATGGCTGACTTTCAAGAATGGTGAGGGGGCGGTTAGACAGACACACGGGCAGACAGAATGATGGTGATAAAGTCATACTCACAAACACATTAGGAGACTGGTGAGGGGAGGGCACAGATCAGAGGAGGGCACACACTTAAGGGAATTAGAGCAGAGGTGGGCTGGCAAGGAGAGTTATTCTGGTAGAGTCAACATCCTGCACTAGAACCAGGCATCAGGACAATCTAATTATCTACAGAGAAACCTGGACCTGGCACCTGGAGCTGGTTTGACAGGAGCGCCAGTGAGGGAGTGGGACCATAGCCTAAAAAGATGGCAAGGCAGTGTTGAGTTGTGTTTTTAAATCTGAGGAAAATGAGACTGCCAGTTTTCCTCAAAGATAAGGGAGAGAAAAAAGAAAAAAGAAAAAAAAGCATCAATGCTGCCAAACTTTCTATAGAAGATGACTCGATGCCAAATCACAGAACATCATTACCTGCTTTCACAGAAAAATCTGGAGAGTAGTCAGCAAGACATGCACCTCTGGATATTTTTAAGAAATCTGCGATTTGGGAAATCAGCTTGAAAGTCTGAGTCCTCAGCAGGGTTTCCTCTCCTTCAGCAGCCAACACAAAGTGACACATTTCCCTTCCCTCATTATTCATTTATTGTCTCTCTCTCATTTTGCTTCATCCACTCCCATACCTTGCATCTAATTAGCTGCGCTTTTTAACGTTCCTAAAAATATTAACTGGATATGAACACATCCTGACTCCCTTTGTTCAGACTTCTTAAATCAAAGAGCACGTTGAGCTCAGCTCCTGAGGGAGAAAGTCAGCAGAGCACTGCAAGATATCCTCTGGTCGTCTACAGCACAGATACCCAAACCCTATTTCTTTCCTCTAGCAACAGATTTTCTTTTCTTTAGGTTGCAATGGTTGCATTTAAGGCTGCACCTTATAAGGGAAACATGCAAATACAATTGTGTTTCTAGAGGATCACAAAGATGATATTCGTTGCCGTTAACAGTTTTCTCTCTCAAATTCATATCAACGTGAGGATAATGGGCAGTTCAGCCTAGGCTTGTCCCGATCCGATCCACGTATTAAACGTGTGTGAGATCATGCACAAGCCCATTTCTCCTGCTGCACAATCTGTTTAAAAGTTACTGTTTGTATCGCTCTTACAAGCTTACTTTCCAAAAGAAGATTTGCAGTAAGTAAGGGGGACGAGCGCGTAGGACGGCTTTACATAAACATATCACCAGAATGATTGACCATTAGGAGGACCACTTATTTTTAGGATCCACCCGGAAACATAAGAACCTGCACTACAGCTTTAACTGGACTGCTTGTTTTAGAAACTTTTTTGGATGTTACCTGAATTAAACAACTGTAATTATTAAATATTTTAATGCTATTAATATATAGTAACACTCAATAGCAAATCAATAAATAATATTGCTCACATACTTTTTTTTTTTAATCAGTCGTTGAGTATATAAATAGATCTATAGACATGTGTATGAAAATGAATACAGGATTGGAAAATATAAAGGTTTGTGTCAGTGCAGGGATGCAGACATGGACAATTCTTGGTTATCTTCGACTTCATCTTTGACCTACTTTTGGGGACAGCAGAAGGTGGCACTATGAACGTGTTCTAATGAGAGCGGTGAATGAGAGTCACACAGGTCTAAATATAAATGAGCTGTGAAAGAACATAGCAAATGAGAAGCAGATCGCTAAGAAGGCTTTTGTTTTAGTCACAGATAAAGTGATCTTAGACTCATTGCAAAAAGGGTTAGCTTCTCTCTAGTCTGGAATGAGCAGGGATCCAAAATGCTTCTCTCTACAGGATTTCTCCTATTTCATGTAGGCACAGTTTTATAGTTTTCTGTGTTTTCCCCTCAGCATGCGACTGTCTCTCTATGGGAGGTTAGGTGTGAGAATGAGACGACATCAACAATCAACCCATTATCGCATCGTAGCTTTCTAAATCGTACAGGATTAAATAAAGAATGGAAAAAAATCAAGACTATATAGCCCATCTATCCGTCTCTACCACACATGCATAGTTTTGCACAAAGTAGGATTTATTTCCTTGTGTTTGCCTCCTGGCAGCTCCTTCCTGGATTTACTGTGGTCCTTCCTTCTCTACTTAATGATCTCATGTGGTGGACTGGTTTATATATAGATACATCGGCACTAAAACAGGAGTAAGAAATCTGTGCCGTGTCATTTTTAGGCTCCTACAGGTATGTCTGAATCTTCTGTAGTCATCATGGCCACCATGGGGAACCCCAATTAATTTAGTAGCTTCCTTGACAGCACATAAACACAACGGAGTTACCGACCCAATTCTGCACCAAGCACAGCCCGCAGAGGTAGCAGAGGGGTCATACAAGGATGCTGCACATCACACCATATATGTGGGAGTGATTTAGTTAACATGCAGGCAGAATGTTAACTCTCATCTACAGTGACTTCAGTACAGGTTCAACCGGTGCTCGGCACACTACTTAAATGTTTAAAGGTGTGGCTTGTGGTCTTTCTAAGTAAAACTAAAAGAATCAAATTAGAAACGTGTATATAAGCTTATTGTGGACATTTAACAGGAACATATAATGACCTGATGGAGAGGAGCGACGTTGGTTCTAAGGTTAGCTGAATCTTATCAGACCCGTCAGGTGGAAAACACATTCAACCCATCCTGGTCTACAACCTGCTCCATATACTATCCTCAACAAGCAATATAAATATATCCCGAACTTAGAAACTTTTAACAGAAAATAGCTGCACAAGAAAAAAAAACAGGGTTTATACAGGAATGAGTAACTCTAATTTAATGCTTTTTAATGCTCTTTTAATGCTCTTAGAAATAATTTTAATGCCATCAACAAGTACCATGTAATATATATCGTTTTCCAGCCATTTTTGTTCAAATTTGCAATTTCCTATTCACTCAATTTTTCTGCGCATCAAGCTTCTTTTCCAAACATACAGCTTTTTTATCAACTGGAAGCAGTTCAGCGCAAATAAATTGCAATATAATAAATCTGATGAAATTGTTTTTATAAACATTCAAAAATAAAGTGTTTTAAATGCCACGATAATCACATTTAATACATTTTAATGCCAATTAAGGGTTTAATTAAAAAAATTATAATTTAATGACTTAATGATTTTTAATGACCCGCGGAAACCTGGAAAACATTTCTGTTTATTTGCATATCAAGAAAGAAAACAAATATGACTAATTAACTGTCAACATATAGTTTATATTAAGACCCTCTAAGAAAGAAATTATGTGATTATGATAGTATTGCTGAAAATTGGGATGATGCAACAAATCATAAATATGTTTTTGAAACTCGTCCCTCCTTTTATCCTTCCCTCAGTCGCCATCAGCTTTAGTTTCTCCATCACTTTATGTGCAAATCAGTAAGTGAATAACTTTGGAAATAAAATATATGACTAAACATTTTCTCAAAGTCATTAATGATTGCAATATTGCTGCCGTTACTGTCACACACACAAAAAAAATGCAATTTCATTTACTGAGCAGCTCTAGCCAATATTAGGCATTTTAGTTACAGGGGTGTAAACAGTTTTTGTTTTTTCAGTTGCTGCAGAAACTAATGGAGTGACTATACATTTTTCTTTTTATAGATTTATAAAGAACTGCTCCAGCCATACATGCTGCTACACTAATTTGTAAGATAAATCAACTCATTTCTTCATGGGATGTTGGAAATGATCATCTGATCATAAAAAAAACAAAACAAAATAAATAACCTTGTTTGTAAACCAATGTCAGACTTCCAAGAACAGCGTTTCAAAACCAACTGCAGCATACCTGCTCTACCTCAGCAAATGGACCTGCTATAAAACCCGCTTCTATACTCCTTTTTATTTAAAAAACAGAACTGTTCCACCACAAGCATGATTACTTACAAAATACAACTGCTTTAAGGGTGTGTTTTACTTAGATTTTTGCCCAAGAAAACTAGATGGTAAATAAATACAGGTGATGGAATTATAATAACTGTAATTCTGTTGTAAAGGCAATGCATCGTTTGTCTTTATGTTTCTACAGGGAGGTAAAAAGACCCCCCACAATGACAACCTGCAAAGACCCAGTGACATTGAGATCGTGGAGTGCAATCAGCTGGGTGTTCGCCTTAACAAAAAATTGGACTGTATGCTGTTTACAGGAAGAGTCAGAGCACACTCTACTGCTGAGACCTTTAGGAGCACTGGGTGCACTCCTGGATTATTTAATTTACATTTGGGATTAATATAAGAAGTTTCAAATTGAACTGAAGACTTTTTTGATTCTGTGGTGGCATCAGCCATTGGAGCAGCAGCTCATCCACAGCTGAGAGAAAGCAGCTGGAAAAGCTAATCAGGAAAGCCAGCTCTGTCCACTGATGCTCCTTCGATCCAGTACAGGTGGGGAAAAAAAAATAAAAACCCAGAAGAACTCTGGGAAAAATAACAAACACCATTTTTGGAAAGTCTCCAAACCCATGCAGGGAAGCTGCTGCAGAGCTGGAGAGCGCTTTTAGCAACCTTTAATTATCAAACTCTGTGGCATATCCCTTTGAACCTGTGTGTGCTGCTTTTAATAACTACCCAGTATTTTTAATTTTGTCCCTTCTGTACAGCCCCTTATAATTTCTGTTTTACATTTCTACCCTTTTGTGAATTTGAATTATTCCATTCATCCGTCACTTCACTGCTGTGACATCTGAACGTTTCCACTTAAGAGCAATAGAGTATATCTGTATTCTATTCAAACTGTGAGCAGGAATAACTAAGGTGTAGAGCTGATCCACTTACGTCTGGGTACTCTTTGACAGGCACAAACAGTTTCTCCTGCAGGTGAACGATGGGTCCGATGGGTTCAGGCAGCTCCAGCGGGTGTTTGTCCACAAGGCCGTTCACTGAGTCGCTGTACATATCTTTACGCACTCTGTTGATCTCTGGAACACAAATAAAGGAATTAAAGATTAACAAGATGGTTTTAGGATTTTAGTAAAATGAAATGAAATGCTGTCAGTTCGATTCTGGCCTATAGGAAGAAGAAGTTAATGCAGTATATAAGAGAAACAGAAAACTAATGTTTTTTTTATTATTATTATTATTTTATTTTGAAGCGTCCAAGTGTTAAAGACTATAGGAAAATGTTGCAGTGTTGTTGTAGATTTACATAATAATATTGGGAGCGCTTAACTGACATTTTGCCTTATCTTCTTTTTTCTTTATTAGAGCCAATAAGACTTTTCATGACTAATTGCAATTTCCTGCTTTCCATGAGGTCAAATCAGCTGATTTAAAGAAAAACTATTTTGTAAGAACAACATAAAGTACAAAGAGTGCTACAGATTTGATGCTGGGGATGGGAGTTTTGAATCCCAAAAAAAAATGAAGGGATAACAAGATTATCTCTTAACCTTTAACTCGTTTTTATCAAAAAGATAGATGGAGCAAACTGGAACTATGCATAATTGGACCAAAACTGCTGGGAGGTTGTGGTTCTGAAGCACTTGAGGATTAGTAAATGATTTTTCATTATTTGACGAGTCCCCTGAATCTGTAAATTCAAGATCGCTAAAGAATAAATATTTTTCTTTGTGAGGAGTGAAGGGCAGTATGACATATCTGCAAACAGATAATAAACTTGAAACATAACAGCCTCCTATAGCATCCAAGCAGTCATTTGTGATTGAAATATTCCACATACCGATTTCTACTTGATATATTGTGCATCTGTATTACAGGTGTATAACAGAACTCCTTTTAGCAGCAAAATGATTGTTTCTTTCTTCCACCTCAGCAGAGGCTGCTGTTGGCCACAGCCATCTGAGTGAGAGGCAGATAACAGGACCAGACAAACAATCAGCTTCTGTATATCCTGCCTTCACTTCTGATCCAACCGTTGAACCTTTTCTGACAGAACCACAGCCAGCAGAGACCTCTAGCTATTCCACACACACACACGCTCATTTCTAAACCCCATTATCAGCTTATTGTGAGACAAACGCCTTCCCACAGGAGTAGAGGAAGAAAAGCAGATATTCACAAATGTCCATGAGTGTGAAAATGTCACAGAAGATTGACAGCAGCAGTTATGACATGCATTAGAAGACAAAAGACTCCAGTTACACCCTCGCTTGCCAAGTTGCCATTACTGTACAATTATACTGTCCAAACGCAAGAAGAGCTGGGGAAAAAATGGATCAATAGGCAGATCAACAGAGACAGCTTTGAGTGAGGAAAGGCTAGGAAAAAATAACCTTCATGAGCTTCAGAAAAGGACGCATGGATGTTGGGTGGTAATGTCAATGGCACCATCCTCTGTAGGAACTTCCAAATTAAACTGCAGCTAACTATAGATAAAGGTCTGTTACCATCAAAACACGAATGGAGGTAGGCCAGACTTGCATAAGGTTTTACTATCGTTCTGCAGCTTTTTTGTTTTAAAGCTACAGCATTCCACCATCGAATCTATTAAGAATAATTTTTCATACTTTCCAACGCACTATAAGAAGCATCTTTAAAGTTTCTGAAAATTGCAATATAAGGAGCCATTTAATTATCCAATGGAATAAAGCAGCTGGAATTTCCTGTAAGAAAAAGAAAGGATCCTGGAACTTATTTCATTATTTGTATTGTTCCAGAGTGACTCTTTCAGGTTGCATGGCCCGAGCTCTGCTGGATCCATAAATATTCTCAGTCTTTTTATAAGATGACTTCCTCCGGGCATCAAACCCAGAAGCGAGATTATATCACTTCTACTCTAGATACAAAGCCACATTATGCCCTAATTTGAGAGCTGTAATTGCTAATAATCTCTACAGTATTAGAGTATGATAAAATTACATGTGTTTTTCTTCAAGAGAACATTTATAGACAGACAAAAGCTGTGCACACATGCTGCATCACTGGAAAAGCATGGAAGAGCTAAGCTTAGCCCATTAGCTGATGCCAAAAGCTAAATGAGAAGAAAACCACAGCTAGTAAAGACTTTTTGTCCCCTGGCTAAAAGGGCCAAAAAAAAAAAAAAAAGATACCTTAATCATATTTGATAGAGCAACCCAACAAGCACCAGTAGCAATTCTACCTCCTCTAAATTGTTATTTCCTCTTGCTGAAATGCCACATTAACATAAGGGGGCTGAACTGGGCCATCAGCAGAGACGTGCGGCATTTGACAACCTCTAATTTTAGCGCTGCAACTCTTTTCTGAAGTGCTGCATTCACCTAAAAATTACCCCCTGCCTTACACGGCCAACAAAAATCATTTATCCATACGTCCACCCCGGCAGAAAAGCTCATAAGTGAGGATATGTGGGTTTTGAAATGTGTATTCTTACTTGAGTGCATTGGGATGTGTTAAAAAGAAAAAGAAAGCAAACAAAAACAAAGAAAATAAAATGGAGAAATAAGATGCAAATTTCTCTTGAACTTTGGCATTAAAATAAAAAAATATACATTTTTAGAACATGACCTCTGAACTCCTTTTTAGAACAAACAAGATGATAAAGAAAAGCTAACAGGAATTATTATTTGTAAAAAGCAGTAAATGTGACTGCTGCACTAAGTGCTGCTTGGTGTGTTTGTAACAGACTGTGCAAAGCTGAGCTCTCGTTTCTACAGCATCATGGACGCCACTCTGGATGGGCAGCATTCAGAAACGGTATAAAAAAAATTTTTTAATCCTGTGGAGCCTGTTTTCACCTCTGTAAATCCTCTTATCAATAACGTAACAAGAAACACTTGGTTCTTAGGTGCATCCAGAGGAACAGGTGGAGGAACTTGAACTTTATAAAGGTGGACAGCACATTTATACCTTTGATGAGGGTTGTTAGAATCTGCAAAACAGGATACGAAATTATAGAAATGCTGACTCATATTCAAAAGATTAACTGACCAAAATAACCTTTCGCTGTGGTGCCAGTAAATGTATACAAGGAAGGAAGTTATAACAACTTCAGACAAACCCATCCATTCTGGCTCCTTCCATTTTTTTATCTTTTTTTTTGCATTTAGTAAGTGGTCATGCAAAAGGCATCAAATATGTCCAAGATGAGTGCTTTAAAGTGAATAATAAATTTCATGTAGAATACAAATCACTGAGATTAACAAGATTTCTGAGTAGCTGGTATGACCAGTTTTTTCCTTCACTTCTTATTTTGGGCTGGAAACTAGTGATTATTTGACCAAATGATTAATTGTTAAATAATTATTTCAATTAATCATCAGATAGTAAAAGGTGCCTTAAAGAAGACTTTATGCAGAATATAAACCTGGAGATGCTAACACTAAGCTTGCTGAGGAGTTCTGGATAAAGCATATTCACGAACATATTCTTCTTAAATACTAAACATTTATATATCTTTTACAATTTTGGCATAATAACTGCTCTGAGTGGGATGCGTGTGTCAAGCGTCTATATACTCCAGTTAACGATTAACTGATTACCAAATGACACTATTATTTTATTAATCAATTAATTACGATTAATCTGATTAATTGTTTCAGGGCAAGTTCACACAATCTACAGTATGACAGATATTTGTATGGTGATCTCTAAGTGAGCATTATGTCGAAGGGACACACAGAGCACATAATAAAGGGATCCTTCAGGGTTAAACTGGAAAAAAAAAAAGAAACAATAGAAAGGACATTAACCATAACATTATAAGAGGGAATTGCAAGGTCAAACAGCTCGCAAAAAGAAGTGGAATAAGAGTAAAACTAAAACTCCCAGAGCAGAGTGTACGTCTCTAGACTCTTACTTCTCATTTCTGCCTTAAAGTTAAAAAAGAAAAACCTCACTTTATCCATCTTACTTTTTGTTTCGCTCAGTTTCGGGGATTGTCAAAATTTAAAGTGAAAAGGAAAATGTTACAGACAGCACCTGCATATCTATCTGCCCTGTGTCAGGGAAAGAAATGATTTCTCCTCATCTTCTGCTATCTTGGCCATAAGGAGGGAGTGTACCCAGAGGGAGAGAATGATGACAGGTGGAGCAGACCAAGAGCTGGCTGAAGAAAGGAGGAGGGAAAAAAACTTTTTTTAAAACATCGAAACACTCAGAGTTGTATTAAAAACAATGGGCAGGTCCAGGAGGACCTGCTGTAATCAGGTTAAAGACAGGTGAGCATCACACAATGAGAAGTGCTCTATAGAAGAATGAGAACAGGTCCGCTAAGAGACCAAAAATAGACCTCCTCTGTAACTGCTTTGTCCTCAGCGTTTGGGCTCGGAGCCAACCGTCCTCTGACCAGGCAGTGCACCTCTGTCCTCGTGCAGAGGAGGGAAAAGGAGAGCAAACAAGTGTAATGGCCAAATAATCAATGCTGTCGGCTTTGCAAGAGAAAAGCTGCTTTGGGTGCCTTGTGATGCCAGGTATTAGCCTGATAAAATCTGGCACCTGAAACAGATCGAGTCTAACACCAATTAATCTTTAAGCCAAAATGATCAAATGTTCAAACTCGGCAGATTTTTGAATGGGTCTTCCTTTTGTGGAGTGATATAAGATCAGAACCGCATGGTGTTTAGAATCCGCCCATCTTTATCTGTGTGTACATGCTGATGTGCTCGATCCATGATATCAACTGGGAAGAGTGGAAGTTTTAAAAAGCTAAAGTTAAGGCTGAAGACATGAGCTTCCTTCCAGAAGACGCTGCAGCAATCATATATTCACCTAAATGTGCCAGAGCTAAGTAAAAACAAGACTCTAGGGAGAAACACGCCTTTCCACTTTAAAGCAGAGCACTTTAGCTATCACAAAGCCTGGTTTCCCTTTGCAAAGGGAAAGGATTTGCGTGTTTAATGCGTTCCTGGCCTTTATTCATGGCATAGACAACTTTATCCAAGATGACACTCCACCTCAGCCGTTTAGGGGTCTGACAGGCCAAGCATGTGGGAGAGAGGGTAGACTGTGCATATCAGGGAGAGACTAAAGCACACCGCGT